GACGCTGTCGCATCCAAATTTCGCCAATCAACTGGCGATGGCACAGTGGGGGTTGGCGAATTGCGGGGGAACCACCCTTGCGCCTGGCGCGGCGCAGCGGACGCATGCGGTGCCGCCGTTGCTTTGTCGGCACTTGCCTCCCTTTATGGGGGACTGGGGGCGAAGCCCCCAGAAAGCTGGCGCTTTTTTAACACTATGGAATGAAGTTCCTGAGGAAATTTGGCCATTTTCCCTCAATATATTGGCGATGCCAGTCATGGGGGATGGCGACGGGCTGGCGACCATGTCCTGCCGCCTGCCCTCATTTCGCCAGCTCTGGCTGGCGATGGCCTTCGGCCAATCGCCAGCCAGAGCCGTTTTTTGCCCGATTTCGCCAGCATTTGGCGATTTCGCCAGCTTTCAGAAACACTGCCGCCGCCATAGGCACGCGAGGCGTGTTAGTTACAACAGCAGGTAATTGTAGCATGCACACCACAATGTCAAGCATGCCAGGGGGGCGTGGCATGCAGCTGCTGCATCTACAGCTTGCTGCACGCCGCTCCGCGCCCCCGCTGCTACGTTTGCGGATCCTTGCGCTGCTGCTGCTGCGCCTGCCGCGGCAACCCCGGCTGCTGCACTCGCTGGTACATGAGGATGTAGCCGTGGTCTGCAGGCAGGAGGAGGCAAGGGTGGTAGAAAGGTGGGAGAGAGGCCGGTGCAGTAAACCAAGTAGCACTGACTGACAACGGAGGAGCTGGCCAATGCCATTGCCTGGTACCAACAAAGCATCAAAGCATCAAAGCATCACTCACACACACACACACCACTGCCACCCCACCCCACTGCCACCCCACCCCTCCACCCCTTACAGCCTCACCTGCGTGCGGCCCCGGCTGGTCGTCCCGCATGGGGTGCCAGTCCTGGGTGTGCCCAAACACGCTCTGCACCTGCGCCTCTGTGATAGCGTTGACCTGCTCATCGTCGAAGCACACCCACTGGCCGCAGGGCGTGCGCACCAGCGCCACGTAGTGACCTGCAGGCAGGCAGGCAAGGGCGGGGCGTGAGCCAGGTGTAGTGTGCGGCAGCGGCAACAGAGCAGCAGCCAGGTTGTGACACATGCCGAAGCGCTGTCAACCCACCGTGGTTGGGGTGCGCCCCCATGTGCACCACCACCGCAAACAGCTCGTAGGCCGTATCTGCGGGGAGGCAGGTGCATGCGGCGGGGCCAACAAGCGTTTGTTCGGGATTCGGGCACTGTGTGCTGGAGTCCATGCCCGGCTGCCGTCCCAGCAGCCACACATGCTTGGAGGGCGTGCGGACGTCCCAAGCGCCGGCCGCTGCCCACTGCTCCCTGCCTCACTCTCCCCACCTCACCCGCGTCTGGGCAGTCGTCTGTGGTGTTGATCATCTTGAGCTCCCAGGGGAAAGTGACCCGGTGCATCAGCTTCTTCAACCTGCGGCAACGGCCAGCAGCAAAACAGGAAGTCAGAGCAGGATGTTAGAGACAGGCGCCAGGTAGACTGCGGGGAAGGAGGGAGTTGGGTAGGATGACATAGCAGCGGCAGGCTGGTTCCCTGACAGTTCGCCGGGACAGCAGCAGCGGACCCCCACCTGCCCATGCTCTCTATGTACTTGAAGCGCTTGAGGTGCATGCAGAGCACCGGCGGCAGCTGCGCCAGCCGCATGCGTTTCTGCAGGCCGAGGGAGTTGCAGCGGCAGGTGTGAGCACGGAGCGCACAGCACGCCTGGACTGTGCTCCACATGCAGGCCGATCACCCTCAACGCAATTCGCCCATCGGCCACACCCTACCACCCACCACAAAAATCTCACCTGCGCCTCCTGCAGGCAGCCGCACTTGTCGCAGAAAAACTTGTCCTCGGCATCCAACGTCTCGGTGGAGCTGCGGTACAGCGGTACATGAAACGGTGCAGAGTCGATGCAACGTGCACAGCATCCGGCTGGGAGCCAGGCAGACTGCACGCAGCTGCCGGCAAACCCAACCCGCGGAGGAGCAGGCTGCATGCAGGGCGCTGGCAGGCGCGTGCCGCACAAGCTGTGGCAGCACCTGAAGTTGCGCAGGCAGGAGGTGAGGGAGCAGTTCTGGTCGATCTCCAGCGAGAGGTCGTAAAAGTCCTCCTCGCGGCTGGTCACTGCGTCATTGTGTGTGTGGGGGGGGGGAGCAGCGCACGGGCAAGCAAGGGAAAGCGTTATGCAACCATGTGGTTGGGTGAGCGGCGGGTGGAGAAGCCGGCGCTGAAAAAAACTTTGCAAAAGGAAGCAATGCCGCCTTGCGAGCCGGCACGCAGCCACGCAGGCGCACCTGTCTCGCACTGCAGGCACCGCGTCTCGTTGACCAGCTTGCCCTGCGGGCAGGCGGGGAGGGGGAGGGCAGCGGGCAGGCAGAGGTTGGGTGGCACGCAATTGCTTGCATTGCACACGGCTGCACGCCCCCACAACATCCATCTTATCCTAGGATCTGCTCCAGCTGTGCTGCCAAGCAAAACAGCATACCCCACCGCCCCGCCCTGCTCCCAGGCAGCCGCACCTGGAACAAGTCGTGCACCCAGGTGCGCACCGGCCGGTTGCGCACCGCCGCCGCCTTGGCCGCCGCCTGGCTGAGCAGCTGCAGGGAGGGGGAGCGGGCGCATGCTGCGGAGGAGGAGGCCGCTGCCTTGGTGGGGCTGCGCGCCTTGGTGGGGGATGCGCCGCAGCTGGAGGCGCGGGAGGAGCCGCGGGAGCCGTCGCGGGAGTGGCGGCGCGCCGCCGCCCGCCCCTCCTTCTCCAGCACCTCGCTGATGTCGTTCAGCAGCCAGTTGAGGAACTCGTGGGCATCCTGCGGCGGTACAGGCGGCGGTACATCAGGCGGTACAGGCGACGGTGCAGGCAGCGAGTGAGGGATGCGCAGCGGGCAAGCGGGACAGGTGGGGGCAGCAGTGCTTCGCGTCAGCTGCCAACCAGCCACAGCACCACACCATTCTCCGATCCCCCCGAAACACACCCCACGCTCACCTGGTGCATGTACGAGCTGAACAGCGCGTTCTCAGCCTTCACTCGGCTCACAAAGCGCCGCGGCGACACAAACCCACACTTCTTTTTCTGGCCGTTCACCTGCGCGGTGGCACGGAAGCAGGAGAGGAGCAGCATGCGGGGTGCACACTCAGCCGGCAGGGCAGGCATCTTCTGCCATGTGCGGTAGGTAGCAGCAGCAGCATGGCAGTTGGCGACAGCACATGGGGAGCAGCAGCCGGGGACACCAGCAGCAGCAGCCTCGCCTGGAGGAAGAGCTCTGCCAGACAGGTCAGCATGTTTTCGGGCGGCGGCTGCTTGCTGCTGGCCGCCGCCGCCTGCAGGCGTGCGCCGTAATGCAGCACCTGCTCCCTGCAGGCATGCAGCGCAGGAGGGCACCATCAACGCAGGAGGGCCTCGTCAGCGCAGTGCTCCAAACGCAAGCGTGAGTGCGGCCCGCGGCGCTGCACCTAAAGGGCTTGCAGAAGTACAGCGTCTGCAGCACGCTGTTGCAGTAGCAGGTGTTGCCAAAGTTCTCCAGCCCAAAGTAGTTTTCGTCGTCCGGCAGCTCCTGCACCACCTTGTCCGGCTTGCTGCTGCTGGTGCCCATGGCGCCGCCGCTGGCTGCTGGCCGCCACCACCTGCCAAGCTAGACTGCTACGCCGGCACGTCACTGCCGCTCCTCCAGCTGCCGGCGCTTGGTGCAGGGGCCGGAATCAGGCGAGGCTGGGGGGGTGTCGCGAGGTGCTGATCGCTTGGGCAGAAAGTCGGCAATTCCAGGGCTCGCCGCACGTTCTGAAAGGTCTGCTGCGTTCTCCTGGCGATCTGGGCACCGACAGACTACCCACAGAGGCCTCTAGAGGGTCTTGAACAGCGCGGGAATAAGCAGGGCCTGGCACGCGAGGCACAGCAGTCTGATGAAAGCCAAGGAGCAGCTGTGAGGGGCGGAGAGCTTGGAAACCCTGGGGTGCATTCTTCTGACAGCGTGGCCGATGGCGTTTTGGAAGCGCATGCAGGAGCGTTCTCCGCTGTTTCATCGCACCTGCAACGCTTCCATACACTGCTGCGCAGCCGCATTGGCCTCGTCCTTTGTGGGAGTCTCTGCCACCCGCGCAAGCGCACCCAAGACCGCCATGCAGGCCCTCGCAGCAGCCACCGCGTGCATGCCCATGGCGCGGCTCGCCGCGCCGCGCCAACAGCAGCGGCAGCAGCGCCATGCCCCCGCTGCCGCCAGCCGCCGCCAGCAGCCCTGCCGCCGCTCCGCAGCCCGCCGGCTGGTGATGGTCACAGCTGAGGCTGGCACCAGCGGCGCCGCAGCAGCCTCACAGCTACAGGCCTTCTCCCAGACCGCGCCCCAGCGGGTGCTGGGTGCAGACGGCAAGCTGGCCGAGGTGCGGCGTGGGCGACTTGCATGCTCTGCCGCTGAAACGTTTTGCCCAGCGAAAGCATGACGTTCCCTACTGGCCATTCTGACTGCCTGCCTGCCGCAGTTCCCCACCACCGCCGGCGTGTATGCCGTGTACGACTCCTCTGGGACACTGCATTACCTGGGCCTGTCACGCAAGGTGCGGGATCCGGCGGCGGCGCGTATAGGGCGTGGCATGATGTTTTTTTGATGGTGCAACGTGGGCATGCCTGCAGGCTGCGCAGCCGGCATGGCATCTTGTGCTGTGGCTTCTCGGGCCCTACTGGTGGACTCCATGCCAGTGGCGATCCTCAATGCCCGCCCGTGCCTGCCCTGCTGTGCCGCAGATCGCCGTCAGCCTGGCCACCCATGTCGAGGCGCTGCCAGAGGGGCTGGTGCACTCAGTCAAGGTAAGGAGCTGCTGCTGCTGCGCGCCTTTGCGCCCTGCCCCTGCTTCTCAACCGGGTTGTCAAGCCGCATGTGAAGCCATGTGATGCTACGTGTGCGGGTCCATGCACCGCTGTGTGCCTGCCTGTGTTGAGCAGGTGCTGGAGGTGCCCGAGGCAAGCAAGGAGGAGCTGCAGGAGGCGTGGAAGGCCTGGATGCAGGAGGCGGGTGGGTGGCTGCTCCGATGCGCTGTGAATCGCAGCACAATGGACATCCTTTGCAGCTCTGGTTTTTATGTCGCCATCTGCCGCCCCTGGAAGCCTGCGCCACAGCTGCTGCTGCATGCCGTTTGTATGCAGTGGCGGAGGCCGGTGCCATCCCTCCAGGCAACGCCTCCGGGCAAACGCTGTGGCAGCAGCGCAGGTGGGCCGGCGGCGTCTGTGGTTGTTCTTGGGTGGCGAGGCATGGGCGGGCCGTTTGTCTTGGGAAGGCAACCCCCGCCGAGCTCTCTGGTTTTGCTGCCAGCCTGGTGCCTACTCTGGCACATCCCATGTTGGCTACCCATGCCCCTGCTTGACTTCCCCTGCACCTCCTCCCTCCTGCCTCCTCCTCCTTTACTTGCCTCCAGGCCGCGCGCCGCCAAGCCCGAGATCCGGCTGACCCCCGGCAAGGGTGTGCAGGACCTGACCTGCTCGGTGGAGGACCTGGTGGACCAGGTGGTGAAGACGTGCAAGGTGCGCAGGCGGGAGGGCAGCAGGCGGGAGGAAGGGAGTGTGTCTGTGGTGTTGTTGGGCAGCAAGAGAAGCGAACTGGCGGGCAAGAGAAGCGAACTTGGCAGGAGGTGGAGGGGAAGGGTGTGTGGGGGACAGCAAGAGGAGGAAGCAGGCGGGATGTGTCCAGCAGGAGGAGGATGGCGTCGACAGCAGGAGGGGCGCGGGCGTGCCGAGGAGGTTTCCGCCGTCTCCGCCACTCCCCTTTGCCTGCAGGTGGTGGCGTTTGTCAAGGGCACGCGCACGCAGCCGCAGTGCGGCTTCTCATACAAGGTCCTCACCATCCTGCAGGAGGTGCGTGCGGGGGTGGGGGTGAAGGGGATACTTGTATCTCTCATTGGCACCATGGTGGCGGCGTGCTGAGCTTGACCCTCGTGCAGCCGTGCGGTGCCGCTTCCGCCACGCTCCCACCCGCCTGCCTGCCCGCCCACCTCCCTGCCTGCTATACGCAAACGCACACCCACCAGCAGCGCCATGTGCCTGTTCCCGCAGTCTGGCGCCGACTTTGAGGTGGTGAATGTGCTGGACGATGTGTACAACCCGGGCCTGAGGGAGGCCATCAAAAACTACTCCGCCTGGCCAACCATCCCGCAGGTGGGGGCCGCACCATGCCCCCCCCCGCAGCGGCTAGGGTGGCGCCAGCTCAGCAGCGGCGGGGCTTGGCTCGGGGGTGGATGGCTTGGGTGAGCGGCAGGTGGCTGTGTGTGCGTGCCGTCCTGCCTGCAGGTGTTTGTGGGCGGCGAGTTCATCGGCGGCGCCGACATTGTCGAGGAGATGAACGGCAGCGGTGAGACGTGTGCTCCATTTGTTGGTACCTGCTGCCCTCTGAATGAGGCTGGCAAGCTGCAATGCATGCAGCCACTTCTGCGATTCTAATGCCTTGGCTGTTCTCCATCCCTGCCTGCTGCGCAGGCGAGCTGAAGACGGCGCTGCAGCAGGCGGGAGCCGTGCGCGGTTGAGCGGGCATGCTGCCTGACCCATGGGGCATTTATGTAACAGCACTTGTTGTAAATAACAATAACAAGCGTGGGTGGGCTGGAGCAGGCAGCCCAGGTCAGTTTGGCCCGGTCCTGCGTACCGCTGGCATGCGGTACATACCTGGCCTCCACCCTCAGCCTCGCCCTCAGCCAGCGTGCGTACTCCACTACCTCTCAGTACGGAGCAGCATCTTACAGGCTGGCAAGCCGGCTACGGACGTGGCGAGGTCGGTCCGGAATCGCACGGATGCACCGCATTTCTGGCCGGCACCGTGCAAGCACCGTGCGCCGTACCCACTCGTGGGAAGCCACAATCCCAGTACGGCGGCGGCAGAACTCGACCCCCAGCAGCTCTGCGGCAGCGGTCACGACGGGGCCGCCCGCTGCCGCCAATGACCTCCCTGCGGCGGCTGCTGCCGTCAGAGCCTGGCGCTGCGGCGCTGGTGGGCCTGGGCCGCATCATCAACTGGGTCGGCTCACCCTCCCCTGTTTCCCTGGTGACGCACTGCCAGCATGCCCTGCTGGCGGCCGCCTCGCTCGGAGTGGCGGCGCTCGGCATGACGCGCCCGGCGCTGTACCGCAAGGCCCGCCTCTTCCTCATCCCCCTCATCCGCGTCGGCGGTCTCCTGCTGCACATGCAATTCGGCTCCGCCAAGGTGCGTTCAAACTGCCAGCGCCGGCACTGCCAGAGGTCTTACCGCAGCCACTCTTCACCCCTTTCGACGCACCTGAACCCTGCCTGCATGCCCTGTCGTCGTGCAGGCCTCGACCTCGGCCGTGCTGCTCAGCCGGGCCCCCACACCTGGCCCGCTGGGCTGGCTGCGCGGCTGGCTGCGCCTGGTGCTGGGCATGCGCATGATGCAGGCAGCCGTCACCACGCTGCTCTTCCCGCTGCCGCTGCCGCTGGCGGCGGCCACCCACCTGACCGTGGTGGCGCTCAACTTCAACACGGCAGCCTTCTGCGGCACCACCTTCCTGAGGCACCCGCTGACCAGCCTGCGCATCGCGCGGGTGTGGGGCGCTCTGGACCTGTGCAGCCAGCTGGCCAGCCCCGTGGGCGGCGCCGTCAGCGTGCTCAACACCGCGGCGGCCGGCGTGGACAAGGCGGCCTACCAGTGCGCCTCGCTCCTCAACTTCCTGCACGCCGCCTTTGCCATCCTGCCGCTGGCGGCGCTGGCGTGGGCGGACACCAGCCGGCGGAACGTGGAGCAGCAGGATGGGTCAGCAGCGGGCCTTGAAGCGCGTGGCACGGCGGCTGGCGGGCTGGCGCCTGCCGGCAAGCTGCAGGGCGCCTTCCGTGTCGTGGACGGCAGCATCCGGGCGGCCTGCCTCTGCAGCTACTCGTGGTCAGCCAGGGTGGCCTATGTTGCCTGGATGCTCACCGTGCTGTGGCTGCTGGCGCGGGCGGTCACCTGATGCACCTATAGCTGATGCACTGCAGAAGGTATGCTGTATTTATTAATATTGTTTTTATCGTTGCTCATCCAATAGCCTAGTCGCAGCGGCTGCTGCAAAGATATACAGCAGCATGTGAAGCGAGGTCGACTTGGCGCCGGCGCCCTCTGCTGCCACTGGGGCGCTGCATTTGTGCGGCGTGTGTGCAGCGCTTTGAGGCTCCATTCGCATCCCTCACCTCCTGCAGTCCACCCGGAGCCTCCCTGCCTCGCTTGAGCCAGCAACGCGAGAAGCATGACTCTGACCGAGGCGGAGGTGCGGGCCATCAACCTGATAGAGGTGCGCAACCCGTCTAGGCTTGTGATCGGGGCAACATGACAAGCACGAGGGTTCCGCGGGTGCCCCTCGACGTCATGTGTTGACCAGTGGCAGCCCTCATCGTGTGCTGCTGCAGGTGCTGCAAGAGGAGGCAGACGATGATGGTCGGCTGGTGCCAGAGCCGCCCGAGGAGGCGCGCACATGGTGGGTCGGCTTCGCCGCCATGGCACCCCGCCCCGCCCGCCTCTGCCATTGCGAAAACAGCCCCTGCGGCCTGCTGCAGGTCGGAGCAGCAGATCAGGGCCTATTTCAAGAGCGGCGGCGCGGCGGTCCCTGGCCCTGCAACGGATGCAGCAGCAGCAGTGGCAGACTTGGCGGCGCGTTTCCCGCCACCCGATGCCGCCACCTTTGCCCGCTGGTTCCCCGGGCTGGGCCTGAGCAGGACAGCCTGCGACAGTCCCAGGCGAGCGGGCGGGGCCCACGGCCGCTTGCCTTGCCGCTGCCACAGCCGCCATGTAGTGCTGCGCACTCCTCCCTGTATGCATCGAATGTGGCATGATTTCCCGCTTGTTCCGGCACTGGCTGCAGGCTGCGCATCCTGTGCTTCCCCAACGCTGGCAACGCCGAGGACATGTACACGTCAGAGGGGACGGGAGTGCGGCGCGCCCCCTCGCCGCTGCTGGTGCGCTGCATGGTGGTCAGTGTGACGTCTGGGCAGCTGGGCGGGAAGTGCCGGGGTGGCTTCAGAGGCTTTGAAAGCTGTGCTGGAGCTACTGCTTCCCGACCATGCCCTCCGCGGATTGCCGGACTACCCAACCCTGTCCCCACCCGCCACGCGGACATGCGCAGGACTGGTGCCGCGCCAACGACGCCGAGTGCCTGGCGGTGCAGCCCCCCGGGCGCAACATGCGCGGCAAGGAGCCCCCGTTCACGAGCTGCGAGGCGCTGGCGGCGGCGCTGCTGCCGGTGCTTGCCAGCCGGCTGCTGGGGGCGCCGTACGTGGTGAGCTTGGGTGCGCAGGCACTGCCAGAGTAGAGGTGGAGGTGCTGCCAGACAGCGGCATGAGCATGGCGGGGATCACTTCTGCTGAGCCATGCACCTCACTGCTGCGTTGCGCTCTGCCCTGCTGTGCCGGACTGTGCGCAGGTGGTGGCCCACAGCGTGGGCACCTGGAACGCGTACGAGTTCCTGCGCCTGGCACAGCAGCAGGGCCTGCCCATGCCAGCCAAAGTCTTCCTGTCAGGCAAGCTGAGGTGGAGGTGCTGACGCCGACTCACGAGGCGCCGCTTTGATGGGCTGGCTGGCTGCCTTCTGCATAGTGGCAAAGCTCTTAAGTGCCTGCAAGGGGGTGGACGGCCCCCGCTGGTGCCGCTCTTTGCTCATTCCCTGCTTCTGTCCTGCTTGCTGCCTGGATCGCAGCCATGGCGGCGCCCGACATCCCCTGGGACGAGCGCCCCTGGCGGCAGCAGCGGGGGCTGGATGAGGAGCAGTTCAAGGTGCCTGCCTTGGGTGTAGCGCTGGCGTGGGAGTGCCCAGCAGGCTGCGGAGTGCCGCCAACAGGCACACCATGCATATGTTTCTTCTCCCGCCATTGCTTACCCTGCTCGATCATGACGTGCATGCTGCGCGGCCGATGCCTGCCTGCCTGGCGGCGCGGTGGGTGCAGGACGAGTGCCGGGGGTGGGACGTGAACGAGCTGGTCTTCTCGCCCGCCCTGTGGGGCACCTACCAGGTGTGCTGGTGATTGCTGAGTAGGCCCGCTGCCATGCCGCACCTGCTGTGCGGTGTCGGTGCTGTCATTTGGGATACGGCTGACGCCCACGCAACCAGCTCTGCCAACCCTCCACCGCCACTCTTCTCAACCCGGCGCCCAAGTGCCTCCCCATCTCCCCACCTGCCTGCCTCCCACCGCCACCGCCACGGGTGCAGCCGCTGATGCGTGCCGACTTCACCCTCTTTGATGAATACACACACCGCCATGCCGGCGCTCCTCCCTTTGCCTTCCCTCTCACTGCCTTCTGGGGCACTCGTGACCGGCGCATCAAGCAGCACATGGTGCAGGTGAGACGGCGCGGGGCATGCCTGGCAGGCTGGGACAGGGCGGGGCTGGCAGAGAGGCTGTGCGCCGTGCCTCTGTAGCCGCGGCGCATGCCGCCCTCCTGGTTTCATTCCCTCTTACCCTGCTGCTCGAAAGGCTTGGGCGGCTGGCTGTACCACCTTCTCCTCTCATCCCTCTCTCCCATCCCTTGCTTTCCCTGCACCTGCACTCGTGTTCCGCAGGGCTGGAGCCGGTTCACCACGGGCGCCTTCCAGCTGCTGGAGGCGGAGGGGCACCACCTGTGGCCACTGGACAAGGCGCACAAGGCCGCCTGGCTGCAGGTCGTGGCCGACCAGCTTGCGCAGCTGCAGCTGTGATGGCGCAGCCGGCCTGGGTGCTGACCCGATCGCTGGGCAGCCACACCACTGCACAGTACGGCTGTTTGCTTCCAGCCTCTATTTATCTTCGAAGCCTGACCCACTAATCACAACGTGCAGTTGGACTGTACACCAAGAGTCTGAAGAGCACAGCTCATTCTCACGCTGGATCGTTGCAACCCAGGGCTGCAGTGGCGGCGAACGGCCACGACGTGCACGCTGCCGCCCCGCCTCTGAATGGCGGCAGCATCTGCCGTCCGCTGCATCGACCGTCTTCCCGTTTCACTACTCACCCGCCTGTTCTGCGGCAGTCTAAGGGCGCCGACAGCGAGTCGGGTCACTTCGTCGTTCAGCGTGACTGAGCACCCGCCCCGCGGCACGCAGACCAGCTGAATCCCCACCGCTGTAGTGCTGGCGAGAGGGATGGACAGGCTCACGCTGCTCACGTGTGTGTTCCTTGCCCTCGTTGCGCGGTCTGTTTGGGAGCAGACGGAGCTTTCATCCTTTGGTGAGTTCGTGGCTGAATCCTGAGGGCCCACCTGAGTTCGTGACAGCTGCATCGGCCTTCAGGTTGCTGTGCCACCGGGCGCCGCAACACCAGGGCTGCGGGTCGCCGCTGCCGCCGCTCCCCACAGCATTCAAAACCTGTGCTGTTGTTGCAGGCCGCCGCCTTCGCCATTTGGAGAGCACGGTGCACCGCCTGTCGGCTGAGCTGGCGGCAGCAGAGCGGCAGCAGACGCTGCTGCAGGAGGGCAGCTGCCCCGCCGAGCGCACGGCAGAAGAGTCCCGGTTCCGCGAGGCGCTGGCGATCTGCCACTACGCCAAGCACGACAGCAGGCAGCAGCTGGCCACCTGCGAGGCCAGCCTGGACAAGGTGAGGCAGGCGGCTGGGAGCCACGGCGCCGCAAGTTGCGCTGCGCAGGTGTGGCTGGCTCTTGAGCCGTGCCCGGCGCCATCCGGCGGTGTCCTGCAGTGCGTGCCGACCCTTGTGGCCGGCCTGTCGGTGCCTGCTCACCTCCCTGCTGCAAAGACCTGCTCTGCGCTGACCACAGCATGCTGCGGGTGTCCAGGTGCCCTGCCCCCTGCCATGCTGCAGAGCACCAGGCCAGGCCCTCGCACTGCAGGCAACTGGTCCGCCGCACAGGTGACAGACGGGACCACATCAGGAGCACATTATTACACTAGTGTGCTCACTGGCCAGCATGGGGGGCCTGCGGCCCACTGTGCAGCCTCATCCCCGCTGTGGTTGTGCTGCCACAGCCTTCCTTCAGCATCACCCCATTGTCTGCCGCCACGCAGGTGCTGGCTCATTTGATGGATGTCGGCAGGTACTACTGGCGTGCGGCGATTGGGGCGGCGCTCAGTGGCATCCTCCTCGCCGTGTGCTACCGTGGGGCCGCACCGGCTGCGCTGCCACAACACTCAGGTGAGGCGCTGCAGGTCGGGCAGTGGAGCTCCCCAGTGCCGATGCTCCCTCGTTGGGTGCTCTGCGCTGCAAGGCTGTCTCGATAACACCTCCAGTTCTGCGTGCAGGACCATGGAAGGGCCGCAGGAGCAGGCAGCACCGCCGCCTCCCGACACGGCGGCGACGGCCCAAGACCTTCACGTTAGTACTGGGCCACTGCCTGCTGCCTGTGTTCTGGCGACTTCATTGCTGGAAGTGAGGCTTGCGCTGATTTTGTTCTGAAGGTGTGGGTGCCAGCTGATTTGGCCGAGACAGATGAATGGAAATGGGGCATATTTTGGCAAACATTTGGAACCACATACTCCAAGGCGGCTGCTGTGGATTTCCTTAGGGCGGCGAATATTCCGTACACGGTAGGAATGGCTGCATGGATGCACCTCACACCACCTGCTGCGCGCTCAAATGGCAGCACCCCTCACGCTTCTGTGCGGCCCTGCCTGCATGCTGCAGGATCCCGACGCTCTCCCTGCGGTGGTGGGCGGCAGCGCCAGCGATGCGCCCGCCACAGCCTCCCAGGCGACGTCGACGGGCACTGAGGAGGGTGCAGCAGCGGGCACTAGCACCCATTTCACGGTAGCAAGGATGGCTGATGAAGCCCAGCTCGCAAGCTTCTTCAGCTCGCTGATGCGCCGCTCCCTCAGTCCCGCTCTGCACCTGCGCACGCCTCCGCACCGACCGTCCATGACCCGCCAGACCACCTCCTGTCCCGCAGGATCAGGACGCGCCCCCTGCGGCAGCCACGGCGGGCGCCGAGGCAGGCTCCGAGGGTGGCTGCTGGCTGCGCAGCCTGTGGCGCTATCCAGTGGGCGGCTGGATCTGATGTGTGCTAGCTATCAGTGGCAGTGCAAAGCCAGCTTGGCGCTTGCTTCAGGCGGGCCGCTGGCGGCGGGTGGGGGAATGGGGAAGCAATGGAAATTAGTGGCAGCAATACCAGGGCAGATTTTACAACCAAAATTTCTAGGTAGCGTACATACGAGACATCTCAACCGATTTATAAAGTAGCAGCTTTAACTTCAACGCAACATCAAGCGGCGCCGCGGGCGCGTCCAGCGCGCTGCCGCCAGCGGGCCAGCCCGGGATGATGGGCGAATGCTGGCGGCTGGCTCCCACCCCTCACGCTCATCACCTCCTCACAATTGTAAAGAGCTACTCAGCGGCTCTCAACGTGAACCGAATCAAGGCGCGCAAATCGGAGCGTGCGAGCCCGGTCGCGCTGTGTGTGGCGATTGACGAACACCATCTGCACAATCGCTGGAAGCTGCCGGCGCAGTGGCAGATTGCAGTTGCGGCCAGCGTGCAGGCCGCCAGTACTTGCTCGCCCGCTCCGCCGCCCTCCTGCTGCGGCCCTCCTGACGCCTGTCGCCCGGGGCCTGTGCTGCACTTCTAACCTCGCTGTGATGCCACTCTGCAGTTAACGATGGCATCCACTAGTTACTTCTCAGCGGCGGTGAGGCAAAATAGTCCGGCGGGGTCAAGACCCGAGTGCGACATGCGGTGTGCGCCGCCGGCGGCATTACCGGCCAGACTCATGAGATGTTGCGTGTGTCACCTCTTTGCCAGGAACAAGTGGATAGAGAGGCGCATTGGGTCGCGCGTGCTTGTAGCTACAGCTGAGCCGCTTAAGCGGCATGTCGGGCACACGCTTTCTTGCACACGCTGACGGGGCCGGCTTCCCCGCCATGCACTCCCCCGCTCCCCTGCCTCCTCCATTCTGCTGCCTGAGCGTGCCTGGGCCGCAGCCATCGTGCTCCCAAGCCTTGGACAGCGAGCCGAGGCACCTTCAGTCCGCCCATCCGAGCTCCCCAAGCCTTGGACCGCTCCCCAGCCGCCCAGAGGCCAGCAGGAGCGCACTCCAACCGCTATGGCCGCCCCCGCCCCAGGCACGGCAGCGGCAGAGGCGGCTGTGCCTGCGCCGCCCCGGCCAGCGGTGCTCCGCCCTCCCGCGCCGCTCGCAGGCAGGACACGGCCGCTCGCTGCCGCCCTTTCCTTGCTCACCCCGGCCCTCCCCGCACCGCTCTGCCCCCCTGCCATCCCGCCCCACCCTCCTCTCACCCTGCACATGCCGCCGCGCCGTTCCGCCCCTGCCGCAGCACCCCCAGCCAGCTACCCGCCCGCCTCGGAGCGCTATGCTGTCGGCGCGCTGCCGCCCGCGCAGCCCGCGCGCATGCTCCCGCCCTCGGGCCCAGCTGGCGCCGCAGTGCCCGCCCAGCTTCCCCGTCCCCCTTGCACTGCCATCCTCCCCATACCCTCGGCCACCCTGCCCTCACCCGCGCACACACGAACACACCTGTACCGCACCCCACACACATGTACCACAGGCACCTCCACCATGTACTGCATCCTGGCGGCCCTGCAGCTGGTGGCGCGCATCCTGTTCATCATCGCGCCGCACAAGGTGGGATAGCATGACATGTCAGGGCAGGAAGCGGCGGGTGCAGCGACACGGCTCCCTGAGCTGGCCGCTGGGCGATGCTTGCGCCGCTTGCCTCGGGAGGGTTTAGGATGCGCGCCACACCCTGCATCACAACCGCCGTCGCACCCTGCATGCATTATGCAGTGCTGCCTGCCCACCCTGCCGCCATCATGGGTGACCCTGCCTGCCTGCCTGCCTGCCTGCCTGCCTGCCTGCCTGCGTCCTTGCCGACTTGCCTGCCTGTCAACCCTGCCCATCTTTTCTCCTTCCCTGCCTGCCCTCCCCCAGATGACGGAGCTGTTCTTCCGCAACATGCACCTGCCCCACAAGCACGAAGCCATCAGTGAGAGGAGTGTGGGGCGGCGCTGGTGCAGGAGTTAGGGCTGGTATGCGAGGTGCGCGAGTTCTCCTGTCTTTTGTTTCCCTGCTCAGAGCGGCGCCGGGCGCCCTTCCCGCCAGTGCACGGCGACTGAGGGCCGCCTCGGCTCGCCTGTCTGCCGCCGCCTCCGGTCCGGCAGCCCTGCTGTTTGCCAGCTTTGCACACACCACACGAGCTTGCCCACACACGACAATACCAGATGGCTGACCTCCCCTCCTGCCCGCCCCGCCCTCGCCCGCAGCACCGCTTGTTGGTTTGCTGTGCTGGCGGTGGTGCTGCACCTGGTGAACCTGGCTTTGTCAAGACCCTCGCCGTGTGCCATTGTAGCGCCGCCACCGGCTGCGCTGCCACCACACGCAGGTGAGGCGCTGCAGGTCGGGCAGTGGAGCTCCCCAGTCCCTTTGCTTTCTTAATCAGTGCTCTATGCTGCAAGGCTGTCTCGATAAGACCTCCAATGCTGTGTGCAGGAGCATGGAGGAGCCAAAGGAGCAGGCAGCGGCGCCACCTTCCGACACGGCGGCGACGGCGGCGGCGGCGCCGCCACCTCATGGCATGGCGGCCATTATGTGAGCCACAGGGGCGCTCTTGATCAATGGCGTGCACGGGCGCAGAACGGGCCATAGAGCGAGGCGCGGCAGCAAGCCAAAGGCGCATGCCAGCTGGGCTTCATCAGCCATCCCCTCGTACCGTGTACTTCACCCCTGCCTTTTTCAGGAAGTCGAGTGCGGCCTCCTTGAGGACTCGTCCTCGAGGATGCCGCCATCGACTTCCTTCATAGGGCGGGGATTAGCTACACGGTAGGAAGGGATGCCTGATGAAGCCCGCGCGGCTTTGCCGGCGTAGCGGCAGCGAAACAGCGTCCACTTAAACTCGCCCACCGCGTACAGGCCGGTGGGCACCCACATCTTCACATGCATGAATCAAGCAAAGCATGCCCCTCATCCTCGCCACACTAACGCAGCGGGAACATAGCAGATGCAGCTTCGCACTGTAGTCACCTGGGCCGCCGGCGCTTCTGCCAGCATGGCGGCAACCTTGATGTGGCGCCGCCACCGGCGCCGCTGCCTCCATGCCGGCAGAAGCGCCAGCGGGTTAGGTGACAACACTGCCAAGCTGCTTGTGCGCTGTTCCCGCTTCTTTACGGTTGCCAGCATGAGCTGCATGCTTTGCTCGATTCATGTACACAATGTGTGGGTGCCAACTGGTCTGAACGCGGTGGGTGAGTTTTGAGTGGACGCTGTGTGTCGCCGCCGCTACGCCAGCACGCCGCACCGGCCTCATCAGGCATCCCTTCCTTCCGTGTACTTGACCCCAGTCCGATGGAGGAAGTCGAGTGCGGCCTCGTTGAGTACTCGCCCTTGAGGAGGCCGTACTTGGCTTCCTATCAGAGGCGGGTGTCAAGTACACGTTAGGAGGGGATGGCTGATGAAGCCCAGCTGGCATGCGCCTTTGGCTTGCTGCCGCGACGCTCTCTCAGGCCCGCTCTGCGCCCGCGCACACCATTGATCAAGAGCGGCGCTGTGGCTCTCATAGTGCTGCGCCTCGAGGTTGCCAGCGGCTGGTCAAGAGCACCTCGTAAGCTCAGCCGCCATGCTTGCAAGCAGCCTGCAGGCTGATGCTGGCTGCAGGCCCTGCTGATGCCGGCTGCTGCAGTTGCTCTGGCGCCGGCACGCCTGCCGCCATTCCTGCGGCAGTGCCCAACAATGCAGAAGCGCTTGAAAACGCAGCCGCCGGCACGGCTTCTGCGTTCTCCAGGGCTTCTGCATTTTTGGGGTGCTGCCGCAGGAATGGCGGCAGGCGTGCCGGCGCCAGAGCAACTGCAGCAGCCGGCATCAGCAGGGCCTGCAGCCAGCATCAGCCTGCAGGCTGCTTGCAAGCATGGCGGCTGAGCTTACGAGGTGCTCTTGACCAGCCGCTGACAACCTCGAGGCGCAGCACTATGAGAGCCACAGCGCCGCTCTTGATCAATGGTGTGCG